GCTAACAGCTGGATATGTGAAATCGGAGACACACATGTGCAGCATAGGCAGAGGAGTATTGTGTTCATAACTGTATTCATACCTCCTATATTTATTCTGCAGCTCCACGCACTGAACAGTAACAGCTGAAGTGCCACCGCCGAGATATGCTGCGCTTTAAACCGTTTAGGCACGCCGGTGCCAGGTTTCTCATCTCGCCCGAACACATTTCTGAAAGCTCTTTAGTGACTCTTGTAAAAAAAAAAAAAGGGAAAGAAAAGAAAAAGTGCACTAAAAGCTCTCCTGTTTACATTCGATCAGTGTTTCGTCCTTGATGAAGACCATAACCATGTTCAGGTATGAATCTTACAGCTGGGAACTTATTTTTTACAAGGTAATGTGATCTGGGTCTGGAGGATCTCAGACATAAAACAGACAAAAAAAAGACTCATAAAGTGTTTCCTTTCTGCCCTGTACCATCAGCAGCGCAACAGGAAAGCATTGGCTCAGCCTGTGCTGTTGATATGATACGCTTCAAGACTTGTGATGTCTTAGTTTTACTTCTTTACACCTAAATGTCACTCAGAAGGGTCTGCATTCAGGATCTGCCTCTGACATTTGTGTCTGAAACATTTCAGTCTACAAGGGGCTGAAAGTTGAAAGAAAACTGGACAGTGAGGAGACAAGAAAAAACATGCAACCTGCAGAGAAGAACTTCATTGACTGACCAGACTGACGTGCATGATTATTCTTAAATAGACTCCGCAGATGAGCAGCACCAGAACCACTTGTTGGAACTTTAATGTCCAGCAAAGCCAGCTGCAGAAGGACAAAGTGCCAGTGGATGCTGTAGTGCAGAGGTGTCCAATAAAATGTTTTTTGAGTGCCGACATGAGCTAAAAATTCTTGAGTTTGAATTTTAAGGCAGTGAAGGACCACAACGCTGGAGTGGCTCAAACCAGCAGGACTGGAGCTGGTTTGGATTAATGGAGGCGATCTATGGGTCAGTTGCTGATCTGGCTGCTGCTAACTGTGGGCTGGGACTCTTTAAAAACTTCAGTCAGCTGGAGGCGATGATTGCATCATGCATTTGAGAGATATTGAATTGTGGGACACATGCATCTCGCTAGTGAAATTACTGATGCCTTTGTGCATGTTAGTTTCTATTGCTAACTAGTCAGCAATAGCTTGCTAAATGCTAGCTAGCTAGTTAGCAATCCAGGCTAAAAACACAGACACTGTACTACTTTTTCACACTTCTGTCAGTGTGCCCCAGGGTAGCTGTGGCCACAATGTAGTCTGCCATYATCAGTKTGTGWTTGTGAGTGTGAATGGGTGAATGTCTGTAACAGGGCTGCCACGATTAATCGATTAATCGACGACTAATCGATTATTAAAATAATCRATGACTAATTTAATAATCAATTAATCGTTTTCTTTCTTTTTTTGTTCTTTACTTTGTTTTTCTCTCCAAACTGCTTTGACACCTTCCACTGCCACATCTGCCTTTCTGTCCTTGACACACATGCACAGTAG